ATCATGCCTGCGCTCGCTCGCAAACCTGCCAACCAACTGTGATTATGTTTATTTTTTGTATCTATTTCTTTACAAATTTTAGCACTTTGTCACTCAGATATATGTATATTATGCATTGCGTGTGCAACGTATTTAGATTTGTGCTCAGTGGCATAAAGGGAGAAATATCTGTAAACAAACTGTTGCCAAATAACGATCTTATCTTCATGTATCCAAGTAGTTTGATAAGAAAGTTTAAGATTCCTATCTAATATTTTTCCCATTTAAGCATGCATACGCACACATATAATTTGTAATATAATATTACTTTAGATGAATCTATATAGCATGGCCTGGCGCACGTAGCGTGTGATTCTACATGCGCTATGTATATGTAAGAAAATATCACAACTTGTTATTGTTTAATTATTTATTTAGGAATATGTAGTGAATTGCAAACTACTTTTTCAGTAGTCTCTAGAAGCACAAGATATTACTTTTTTTGAGTAGTATCTTATAGAAGTCAAATGTAAATAATGCAAAATCTTACACATAATCTTCTTCCTTTCTTCTCGTGCTGTTTTTCCAATGAGCTGTTAAAACATGATATAAAAGTTATAGCGCATATTGTAAAATAAATTATCATCAAAGTAAAGCGAAGAATAAGCGAAATCAATGTTTTTTGACCTAAATTACTGTAATTTTATATTTTTTATTATATCTATTATTATATGCATACAAATCGTACATAGAAGAAAAAAATCGTTTTTGATGATTCAAGAATACATTTTTGATAATTATGTAATTTTTTATTATTTTCATATTGTTTTCACAATATTATTCATGTTTAGATTTAGAATATATGTATTTAATATATGTGTATTTATATTATTTGCTCTGTTATTTAAAAAAAGAAATTGGAAACTGTAAGTAGAAAAAAAAGATGTATTGAAAGGAATTTCTCCTTTTATGTCTATATATAATGCATACAATGCCATATAGACATATGTCACATATGTCTATATTCTTATGGACGGTTCACATTGCAGATATTGGAAATTGCTCCAAATATTATGTTATTATTTATACCTGCGATGTAACAAAAGGGAAAGCGATCATTGTTGTAATAATATGAGCTCAATGACACTAAATATGACTGTGCGTTCGTTAAAAGGAAAATGTTGTCGGGTACTACAACTTATTAAAGAAATCAGTGTATTTATATAGAATTATTGCGTCGGGCTTAAGAACTTTATTTACTATATAAATATGAATATGTATGTATATATGTATATATATAGATACATACATACATACATACATGCATATATATATATATGGAGTATCATAAAAATTGAGTATAAAAACACCACAGCAAAAGAATTCTCAAAAATTGGATCATAAAAATGCATACAATTACTTTTTTATTCAAAGTAATAGGTTTTTAAATTGGAAATATAAAATTTAAGATTAAAATAGATATAAAAATGAGACATAAAAATAATAAAATGTTTGAAAAAAAAAACGTTTTGTGCAATCATTAACATTATCATTTACGCGATTTTCATAAATGATGGTTGTCTATTCATCAAATGATGGTTTCATAATTTATATGATTTTTACAAAAGAAAATTCTGATATTTAAAAATTTATTAAGCTTGAAATAAACATGCGATGTTTTTTATACTCAGCTTTTATAATATCTGTGTATGTATATAAAGGATGTTCTAATAAAGGCATGTATCAGTAACAAAAGATATTCTGAACGAATAGATATTTTTCATTTAATCTGTTTAACATCTGTTCCTTTTTTGCATTTTAAATTTAATTAAAACTATTAATTAAATTTTGATGAAATTTCTGCTAGAACAAAGTCGCATGTATCAAGCTATTGCTGATCCATATCTTTTTTTGGAATATCCTACATATGTATATTTATGATATATTATACTATTACTATATTAAATGTGAGACAAACGCGTTCTATTAGATAAGATTATTAAGAGATATTGTAATATTAGATTGATAAAAAGAGCTATGTATGTTGACAGATATCAGATCGTTTTCACATAAATACAGAATTACATGTAATAATATTTTTATGCTTTTAAAAGTATAAAAAAAGTATAAAAAAGTTAATTTATGACTGTTAATAGTTTATAGATTTATACTTTATCTGGTCTTATTTCTATGGGACCAAAAAATTTTGTACCCAACATAAATAATTTCTGTTTTTCATTTTCCTATAAAGATAATATAAAACAATCATGAGATATAAAAAAAAACAGATATGAAAGTTGCGCATAATTTCATATTTTTCTGTAAAAATTTTTAATGCATTTGTACGCTTGACTTTTCTTTACATCAATTAACAGATATCTTCCTATATCATTACTTTAATTTCTACTCTCTTGATTAATGAATGTGAATCCTATACCGAGCCGATTTTATCAACTTTTCCATCCACAATCCGTTGTCTGTTAACAGGAACATAGTGCAATCGTAAGTGCAAGAAAGCAAAGTCCAAAATTAAGATATAGAGGCTTGGTGGTAATTTTAATCAAAAAAAATAGGAAGTGTGTGTGATAAGAGAGAGAGTTGCAATTAACTTGTGTAAATCATAAAGATATAACTTGTCCTAGCCAATCTATCTGCCAAAATTGTGTCAAACATTATTTCTATGCAACATATGTATATGTACATATATGTACAATAGGACTCTAAAATAGATCATCAAACTTTGCAGATATATTCTTGGACCAATTTAAAATTGATTTTTCTAACATGTCAGTAGTCATTTGTAAGTAAAGTAACAATATAAAACTTTCTTTAAAATGAAGAATTGAAAGACACTTAAAATTTTTTAAATAACAAAACTTTAACTTAACTTTTCTTTTAAATTTTCTTATCCCTTTCTGATTTAATTAACAGAAAATTTAAATTTCTTTTAAGATTAAAATTTCTTAGTTTTTACATATGAAAAATGAACATAAAAATAAGAAGATATTAAGTCAAATTTCTATTAAAAAAATTAATTTCAAATTGGTTAAAGATTGTATCTATAAAATTTGATAACTTACTTTAGAATCATTCTGTATGTATATACAGGGTGAATCACATATACACATTTGCATATATAATGTGTTTATATCTGAAATATCTTTAATGCAATATCATTCATTCATAATTCACTCTGTATACATATTCGGAGTACACACGCGTACATAAATATATATTTAAAAAATATATATAATTTATTATAATGAGATTATTGTATAAATAAATATATAAACTAAATTACAGTAATGCCATATTATTATCACACCTATGGAAAAGATTGCAAAATGTAAAATTTGTATATAAATAAGTCTATTTGAAAATATAAATAATGAATCTTATTTCTTTTCTCTGACTTGTGAATCTTCTTCGAGGTTCTTGTATTGGATATAATTAGCAAGCATGATTCTCCTATTATTAGACTTATATAAAGGGATAGAAGAGGTGTGTGTGTGTGAAGCCTTTCTATAAAGTTAATAATAGAAGAGTGTTATGCGCGATTCTCTTGCAAACATATCGTGCATATAAAAAATATAAATTGTTTTTATTAAATTAATACTATTTTTTTCTATATAACATGATTCGGTTAATATTTAAAAAAACTATTGAATTTTTACATGAATTATTTTACAAAAAATAAATGTATTTGTTAATAAAACGTTTTATATTGATTATATCTTTTTATGTACAATTTATTTTGAAAACATGATTTGGAACATGATCTTCGACCTGGATAAATGCTCCTTTTTGTTTTGTTATTAAAAAAATTGAAAATATTCGTAAAAAAATTTGAAAATACTAAAATACTTGTTTTTATGGAGACAAAGATATATAACAGTCTCTCAAAAACAGAATAACTGCTTTTCAGAATTTTTCGTTTAACGTATTTTATTTCTTACTTTATTAAATTATTTTATTAAATGATCTTTTTATAATAACGTTATAAAAAAGATAAAAATAGTTTTTTGTAAAATTAATGATACACAAGAGTATATCACACTTGCTTATCGTCATTTGTTATTCCACTTAAAAACGAGATAAAAAATAATCGTAACATGTGCGCATAGCATGTATCAAAAAACTACGCAACATAATTTTCGAGTGGACAGCACAATCCTATCATTTCTTATCTAATCCGGAGTTTGCGAACGTTCGAGATGTAGCTGATTCTTAGGCATCATTCATAATGTGCTACTACGATTTATTATACGCATAAAATACAAGTTTTATTTATAATACGATTCTATTGCTCCGATATAATTTTCTAATTTCGAAGTGGGGCATTTTTGAATCTCGGGTCACCGAGCTATGAAAAAATCATGAGGCTGACATAATATTTTCCTACGTACGAATGTATGTGTACATACATTCATCCCCTCTACACTAGCGCCAAGTGCCAAACACTATTCGTACAGTGCGCGTCAACGATTCTGTCCTAGGGAGCGTAGACGTGACCAATCAGCCACTGCTACGCTGTCAGCTGATTGGTCACTTCTACGCTCCCCTTGCCCGGCGTAGGACAGAATCGTTGACGCGCCCTGTACATACGTGGTGGGAGGTGGGAGGATGGACGTCGCGCTGTTGCGGTGTTGCGTAGTAGGTAAGGTCATACGGTAGGCAACGTGTGTTTCGCGAAGCGGCTCGTTAGAGGAAACGACATGATGATCAGCAATACCGGTTCACGCTTTTACGTGTGCTGTACGGCCGGGATTGTGATTGATGATGTTAGAACTAAGTGTATCAATAGTGACAATGCGTTGTGATCCTAGTAGTTGTCCTTGTTCGGTAAAGTCGCCGTCGTCGTCGCCGTCGCCGTCGCCGTCGCCGTCGCCGTCGTCGTCGTCGTCGTCGTCGTCGTCGTCGTCGTCGTCGCCGTCGTCGTCGCCGTCGTCGTCGTCGTCATCGTCGCCGTCGTCGTCGTTGCCGTCGTCGTCGTTGCTGCTACCGCTGTCGTCGTCGTCGTCGTCGCCGTCGCCGTCGCCGTCGCCGTCGTCGTCGCCGCTGCTGCCGCTGTCGTCGTCGTCGTCGTCGTCGTCGTCGTCGTCGTCGTCGACGTCGTCGCCGTCGTCATCGAGCGCACATTATCACTACTTATCTCGGTATTTGGCACTGGTATTCCGACACGGTTTATCGTGGAATGGCAGCAGCCTTAAAGAAAAATTACTCACGCAGAAGATTGGCCGCCCTCACATTCCTCTCCAACATCTCTCTTGACGGCAGTCACCGGGACACCAAGTTAGCCGTCTTGTCACAAAGTGGCCCGACTCATGAGCGTACTCTAAGTGATGGCCAATCGGATCAACAAACAGTGCTCGAAGCATATCAGAGCGCTGACTTTGAAGTTTCCATGGAAGAGGCTCTAGAAGATTGCCCGGAAGAGGAGACGCATGATTTTTCACAAAATGAAATAATAGAGCAAACCGACTCTCCGCAATTAGTGCATAAAGGCACCGATCATAACTCCTATAGTTCTGATTCGGATGGACTACTCACACCTGCCAAGGCAGCAGTTACCATGTTCTTAGAGCAGGAGAGAAATCACCTGCAATTGTCTTATGGCATGCATGGTTCGTTTAGAGAACGGTAAATGTTTACTTATCAGCTCTCTACTGATCTGATAAATGGCGATGTGTGTTGTTTAGTATCATAAATTAATTAAATTCATGAGACGCTTTTTCCTTATCGCTATACTCAAGAGTAGGTTACAACTTGTGCAGAGATAGAAGTCTGAGAATAAACATTTTTTAATATAGCAACAAATGAAATACTTTCCCAAAATCTTCTTCCCTCATCGTTCCTTTAAATTATTCGATAAAATTATCTAAAATCAAGTGGTCTCTTACATTATTTCTTTTGATGATTCTTTTGATAATGATATCTATCAAAGAAATCTATTGATTCTGCATTTATCCTTATTATATTTTTTTATGTTTACTTATAGAGAGCAGGTATAATTGAAACACACACAACATAATCTATTGCAATGTGATATGAAGGAAGTTCATAATTTGCATTTGAATTCTGTGATATAATAATATTGAAAAATATTCATATTAGATACAAAAACGTTTTATCTTTAAAATATTTTATGTTTCACAACAATCTATTGTAAACATCTAAATGCAAATTATTGTTTTAATAATTTGCATTTAGATGTGTTAGTTTTAATAATAACATACTGCTTATCAAAACTAAATTAATGATATTTATTTTATCTTTTTCATTTGTTTGAAAAATAGCTTGTAGTAGCCTATAATAATTTGAATAAATTATTAAATATTAGTTAATTATTAAAATATCTATTATGTTACATATTTTGAAAATATATTAAATTAATTATATAACTTTAGCTTATAGATGACTTTAAAAAATTCAAAATGTATAGTAAACTTTGCATTAAAATCATTGTAAAATACATAAAATTTTATTAAATTATAATCTCTATAGGTATATCGCAAATGTTAATATAAATTATATACATTTCAAATATTTTAAATATTTATTTGATTATAAAAAAAACGTAAATATTAAGGATATGCAAAAATCTTTGCGCTATAATGTTTCATCTTTGGAAGATATTCTTGGTACAGATAGCATTGAATGACATTTATGGATTCAGATAACATTATCAAAAGCATACAGTATCACAAACAAAAAACATCAAGAAACTTGATTGCATTCCATTCATTGCCCGCATATCTATATGGCATATATTTCATGTATATGTATGGGATATATTTCAGAATGTAAAACTATTATTTCTTCATTTAGAGATTGTTTTAAAGAAATATAGATACAGACAAATTTTATATGATAAAAAATAAAAATATTGCACATTTTTATATGTGTGAAATAAAAATTTCAGAGAAACAAGATAGATAATAAAACTTTACCTTTTGTTCCACCTATAAATTAGATTTTATTTCTTGTATCATTTTATGTGAGTTAGTTATAAAAATATTTAAAATAAAAAATTGTAAAATGATATTTAGGTTTTTATTAATAGAAGATTGAGAGATTTCAAATTAAAAATATTAAATATATAACAAAATAGAATGATCATATACAAAATATGAATATATATAACACAATAGAGTATCATGTACAAAAATTCTTTTTTTAGTATATATATTTTCTAATATAAATGCATTTTCAGATTATATTTATTTTGATATAAAATTGTATATTTTTAGAACCGGAACTACCGGAAGCGACTATTCTTTACCTGAAAGACGTGTGGGTTCTTTACAATATAAGAAGCGCATAAGTCATCAAACATCTACGCTTTCGGAAGACATTAAGCACCAATACAATAGTAGCAGTGAGAGCATTGGCTCCATACATTCAAAAGCCCAATTATCAAAATCAAAGACAAAGGCAGTGAACAGTGTGCAACCTATTTCTACAAATAGTAGCATAATACCAGAAGTTGCAAAGGAATTGCGTTTGATACAACGACCTGTGAATGGCTATAAATTTGGTGATGATAGACTGGTCTTGGTATCAAATCAGCATGTACCATTTGTAGTATTTTCTGCTATTCCATATAACAAAGGACAACGTTCTAGTTGGTAAAAACATCTCAATCCACACTAAAAAATATATATATTTATGAGGTTTTCTTAGGAATATATTATCTATTTCAATAATATTATCTTTGTTCTCGGTTATAAATTTTTTAAAAATTTAGTTATAATAATTTATATATCATAATTACCACACATAATTTTTTCTTTGTAACATATTGATTACATAAAATCAATAATATCAAAATATTATTTAATATTTTTGATATTATTTTTCTTCTAATATTCTCCTTTTTTAATAATTTACAATAATTTAATAAAATTCACATGAATTCTTATAATATTTATAGGTCAGAATTACGTAAAGACACAATTCGAAGAAAAAATGTATCATCTCAAAGACCATTATCAGCAATTAATGATAATATTGATCCATTTGGATTGCTGGGTATAGAACATGCTAAAGATGGCCAGGTATATTATCTTACCCATTTAATCTAAATGTTTTTCATAATAATAATGATCATTTAATAATTAATTTTGCATAGGAAATATCTTATGGACAATTACTTGTACCATCTAGACAATTCCAAAGGGATAAAAAATTAAACTTTAATGAAAATGAAGCTATGGAATTTACGCATTTTATACCTAATAAACATCATGTGGTACAAAGGTATATAAAAACAAATATTTCTCCTAGTAGTAGTTTTTTTCTTCCTTTATGTTTCTTTGACACAAACCTTATAATTGAATATGTATATACACAAATGATCTATCTTCTGTATGCGCTTTTATTCATGCATTTTATCTTTTAAATTCTTAGATAAATTTTAAATAAACTAATGGAAATCCTTAAAAACTTGTCAAAGCATTGTTCCTAATTTTCTTTATATAATATTTCTAATTATCTTTATAGAAGATATCTATAGCTTTTATTGCTCGAGAGAGAAATATGTCTGTAAATATTTTCCATCAAATTTTCAGTGATAGTAAAACGATTTCTGAGTGAAACTCATTTATCAGAGAATTTCTCATCTTAACAATCACTCATAGCTCATGCAATATTATATCTATAAACATTTTTTTCATCTCTTTCAGTATCATATAATGTGTACATGCATTCATATGTCATATACCTGTTTTATAACAAAACATGTCAACCATCTTTTTGCAGGACAAAAACAATTACTTGGAATGTGGATCACAAAAAATGGTAAAAACTATTATACAATATATATATATATATATATGTGTAACGAGATATAGAAAAGCATTAGCTATAAACATACAATAATACAATAATACAACATATATATGACATACAACAGACATAAAGATCTACAAACCTATTTTTTAAAATCTTGTTATAATTCTGCAAAAGATGTGTTGTAAAGATCAAACATCAGATCATTCACAATCATTTTATGAATAAGAGATGTAACACTGCTTTCCTTTTGTGTTAATGTATGGAAATTTAATGTAGATAATATATTATAATTTTAATATTTTAATATGTGTGTGTGTGTGTATGTGTATATATATGTGTGTATATATATATATATATATATATATATATATATATATGTACACATACATACACATATATATATGGAAATAATAATAATAATATATATATATATGGTAAAAATAATACATAAATATTATAATATTATTTATATATATTATATGAACAATATGTATAAATATAATAAAATAACTTTCTTTAATATAATTTTTTTTAAATATATTAAATTTTTGTACTATCAAATCATATTATTACATGCAGTATTTCTATAATAATAAATCATGTTATAAATTTTTATCATTTATCATACGCATTTCTTAGATCATCTCTTTAACATATATGTATATGTCTATTGTATAAAAAAACATTTTTTATTTATGAGAATAACTAATAAATATTCACATATTATATATAGAATAATTTCATATATTTATATGTATAAAAAATACTTGTTTATTCGTAAGTATTCTAAAAATATAGTGTGTGTGTGTGTGTGTATATACATGTGAAATTTTTATACACTTTAATTAATAATATTCTGATAAGTTTTTTTTTAACAAAATTCTAGATTTATTAAAAAAAACTCTAGATATAAAAATTCTAGATTTATTAAAAAAAACCTGTACTTTTTTTGAAAAGTGCATTAGAGATTTCTGGCATATTATATGTAATTAAATTAAATATAAGAAATTTAAACATGTATGAAATATATATATATATATATAGATTTTTTTAGCAAAGAAATTTATCAGAAAATATTACATTTTATATTAACTTTTAGATTTTTAAAATTTAATATATATATAAAGTTTACTTAAAAATTTTTATTACAATATTTTTCTATTTGATATTCAAATAATGATATTTTTAAATTTTTATAAATACTTTTAATACTGAGTCTTAAATAATAAATATTTATGGGGAGAGATACTTTAGTTCTAGAGCACATTGTATATTGCATGTCAGAAAGTAAAAAAAAATATATTTTTATATTAATCTTTTTTTCTTTATTTTAGGTGTCTATCTTATGATACAGCTACAAGTCGGGCTCATTATATAACTTCTGAGTCTCCACCAGTGTCTTTCAGTGCTGATTCCAAAGGTAAGCACAAAAAATGTAATGTTTCTTTAATTTTTTTTATCAAATTAATATACATTAATATACTAATATAATTACCTAATTATTTTATATTATTGCATATTGCATATTATTGCATATTATTATAGCTTACGAATGGGATGAACAATCTGCTGCTCAGTATAATCCAAATTTATTAGATGATCCAGAACTTATCGCTGGGAAACATAGAACGCTATTGACATTCACATCATATATGGTATGTAATTTAATTTTCATTGTTTTAAGCATAATATTTTTATTATAATTAATATATAAATTAATATTTCACATAATAGGCATCTGTTATCGATTATGTAAGACCTTCCGATTTGAAAAAAGAATTAAATGATAAATTCAAGGAGAAGTTTCCACACATTCAACTCACTCTTAGTAAGCTTCGTAGGTTAGTATTATTTATATATTATTTATATAAATTCTTTATCTTCTCTTTCCTACTTTCTTACTCCATTACTTTCTTATTCCAGTTTAAAACGGGAAATGAGAAAAATAGCTAAATTAGAGTATGGCATCGATTTACTTACTGTTGCAATGGCTTATGTATATTTTGAGAAGCTTATTCTTCGAAATATCGTAACAAAGCAAACACGGAAATTATGCGCTGGTGCTTGTTTACTTCTTGCAGCAAAATTAAATGATGTGAAGGGTGATATTCTTAAATCACTCATTGAGGTATTTTTATATTTTGTGTTATATAATGAAATTTTTTCTTTACATGTAATAAATATCTTTTCTATTATTTGCAGAGAATTGAGGGTGTATTCCGTTTAAATCGCAAAGACTTAATTACATCTGAATTTGCCGTATTGGTGGCTTTAGAATTTGGTCTGCATCTGCCAACATGGGAAATATTTCCTCATTATCAGCGATTGATCTATGAGTCCTGACATTCTTTCGTTCTTTCTATGCAATCTCAAAATTTCTTTGTGAAAAATCTCACCAGTAAAGCATATCCATATTAATCTTAATTTAAAAGCTATATATTAATAAGCTTCAAAACTTTCTATTATATTATATATTATATATTTGAAATATTTTTTTGTTCATTTCTTTGACTTATTTCAATTATGTACACATGTACAGCAATGATTTAATATGAAGAACTCTTTCAAAGTAATAGCGATTGAAAAAAACAGTGATTTCTTATTGTAATAGTTTTTCTATGAGTTACCAATGTAGTACTTGCTGTGAATATTTTATTATTTGAACATATTTCATTTCTCTTGTTTAAATATTAGAAAATAATTGAGATAAGATTAAAAAGAAATATTTAACTACTGTATGATTCAAATATTTGTTTAACTAAATATCATATATATATGCATGCAAAAGAAAAAGAGATTTGTAAAATATTTTGACTTTGAGTTGCTTTTCATGAAAAATATATCAGCGGTTTTGTGATATGTAGCCTTTTTTAGATAAGATATTAAAAATATGTAGATATTTAAATAATAACTTTAAAAGTAAGTTTATTTTCATGATTGTTTTATATATTTCAGTTTCATGCATCAAAATATGTATACACTCTCTATCAGTTTCTCTAGAATACTAGAACAATGCTTGAAATAAGATATCCAAATAACTTCTTTTTATTTGACTTGTTTCAGATAAAGATGTGATCAGAGAAAAATATTGAGTATAGTTGAGTTTTTTAACATAACGAATTTTTCTGAAATATTTTTCTTTTTAATTTAATAGAAGAAAATTATTTAGATAACTTATCCTTGTGCAGCATTTTGTCTTGTGTTATATTATATATTTCATGAAACCACTGCTATTTTGATTACATATACAAATTCATTTCTTTAATAGAATAAAAATTTATTTTGGAAGAGAAAAAGAATCTTAACAAAAAATTGCTGTATGTGCAAAAGAATTAACAAGAATAAATTCGATACTTCTTATAAAAGTAAAAACAGTAATAAAATATATTAAGTATAGATATATCAAATACATACGACAAGATATGAAAATAGCTTAGAAAGTACATTTCTCACCAATATTAGCATAATAGTCAAAAGTTAAAATACTTTGTGGTAGTAAATAATGATTAAAAATGTGAATATAATTAATTTTTTGGAATAATATTTATTAATTCTACACTACAAATTTACAATAAATAATTATATTACAATTATATAACAGTATGAAACAAGGTTTAAAAAATTCCATATAAATGTTCTTTTAATGAAAGTTATTATATGTGTAGATATTATATAAAAATTCATAATACAGAATTTTTTTATTAAAGTTTTTCATTTTTGTGTGGTATCTGTATTAAGTATTTCTGATGTGTCTATACAAAGTTACTTAAAATTTGTACTTTGCATTATAACAAATATTTTTATAGTCTCTTTTGATATAGATTATAGATTAGAAATAATCATTATTGTTTTAAGTGTTATTAGAATATGATTGTGTATTTCTTTCATTTTTAAATCATCTTTGTTTTATAACATAAATGTAAGTTGTTGTTTTTTCATTTTTTTTTTATTGCGTATATAGTTTATAAAGTAGTATGTAATATAATACCAGTCTTTTATTTTTTTCAATTAATTTCAAATATCTTCTCCAATTTAATCAATTGATAATCCTGATCAAATTGTAAATATATAGAAGTTAAATGAGTGTGATAAAGATAAATGCTTATAGCATTATAAAATAATAATCTATATCCTATATATTAGATATTTGATTATTTTGTTATATTTAAGCTAATGTTCTTTTTAGAGATTACTAATATATTTTACAGATATTTTTTAAATTAGAATATATAGATGTATCCATTATTTTTAGAAAAATAGGAACGTAGAAATGTCTCTTTCTAAAGTGTAGTTTTACTCAAGATATCATTATATCATTTTATTCAACAATTGACCAAATTAATTATGCTTAATACATATAGTTCTTATTTATATACTATATATTATATAAAATTTTTCCATTGTAAAAGCATACCAGTGAGACTTAAATTATATTTAAACTGACTTGTAGTATGTGCTGTGCTCAATCATATTTATCCATAAATAATTGATATTTCGCTCAATTTTAACATATATATATATATATGTATATATATATATATATATATATATATATATATATATATATATATATGAGCTGTATTAATTTTTTTTATAACTATTATAATACATTCTGATCTATTCAGTCAAATTAATTTTTACTTTCACAGATAACAGAAAGTCATAGTATTATTCTTTGTTTTACATTATTAATTTTATTACAATATATATTATTTTCTTCTAAATTTTCACAAAATTTAAAAATAAAAACAGTAAAAGACAACATGCCAGATATATACATATGGCATATATATTATTATTTGTACAATCAGCTTTGAAATTGGAAGGAAAAAAAGATAGACTTTTAATATACCATTCTTGTAAGTCAAAATTATAATTGAATAAGTGCTTATAAAAAATATAAATGAGAATTGGATTATTGGCTTATATAAAAAATAGAATATGTAGGAAATTTGATGTATATCTTTATGCAATGTCCCGTTTAGAACTAAATATATGGGATTCTGAGTTTTATTTGTGGACTATGAAGATGATATTACATCATGAACTGTGAATCGTTTAGTCCTGTTTGATCCTAAGCCTGTGATGTGAATATAATTTTTTTGTGTTTAAAGATATAGTGGTAGCTTTAAAAATTAATTTTTATGTAAACTATATATAATATATATAATATATATAATATCACTGATTCTAATTTTATATTATAAGATAAAGTATATAATACTTCGATAATAGTCCAGTAAATTTTTAGCATTCTCATTAATCTATTATCTTTCTTGTTTCAAAGTCAATTTTAGGCTGAAGTGATTCATTCTTATATTTGTCGAAGTAAATCTCACATAAGTATATATAAAATGTCCACATTATGCATTCTCTCTCGACAATTTACAATGTATCTATTTTAAGCTTTAAAGCTTTAGAGATTTAAATACCGCATTAAAATTATAATAAATTCTCTTTGAAGAACGAATAAGCATTATTTATTTGTATTATTTATTTGTATTTCTTTTACTGATAAAAATTCTGATTTTTCATCATACGTAACTTAAAAGTTAGTGCATCACTACTTAGGAAAACGCTATTTTAATTTGTTTTTAATAATGTTCAGAGAGAAAATGCACAATGGCTATATGTACATGCATATAGTAATCCATTTTACATAATATAATACATGTCTGGAACAAACTTTTAACAATAATAAGTTATATATTCTAGTATGTAATGGTGTGTCAATTAAAATAGAATATACTCCATGATATTGTACTTATGATGGATAACAAATTTTCTTTTTGAAAAAAAACTATTAATATTATTTTTCTGATTTATATATAATTCTATAATTTATCTTATGTCTATATATATATATATCAATATTGTATCAATGACGTTTGAAATATATATACATGTGTATATTACATATGACTAATTTTCATTCTATAAAATATATTATCGTGGAGAGCTTTCTATAAGCAATTAGCTTATAATTACTTATTGTATAATTGATTCTCTTTACAAAGTAGAAAAATTTTGGAACGTCTTCCAAATAATTTTAAGTTTTTTATACGATTTGTTTTTGGCCATATTTATATGTAATGTTCCATCATTATGAATATCTAATAATTTCTTAACCGATTTGAAACAGATTTTTTTCTTTCAACAAATATAATTTATATAAAATCTCAACTCTACATTATGGGAGACTCTTGTAAATTGAATATATGTAGTTCATTTAGCGCGGGAAAATGTTGCTCGTTGATTCGCCAATTCATGTCGCATTAATTGCATTGTTTTTCAATTTTACCACACGTGTGATTTTCTTCTTTTCATATATTTTTTCAATTTCTCGTAGTACATTAATATTTGCACCTCGTGCGAGTGACATTACATACAATGCTATTAAAATTATTCTGTTTCAATACTTTGTACGTTATCTTAACTTATTCGAAAGTAGAACCAATCGTGTCTTTCTTCCGCGATACGTGATTGGTCCTGGAAGACAATACGCAATAAAAGAGCTCATCCGCCGAGTGAAAAACCACAGTCACTTCGATACAGGTCATAGCAGTGAGTGGATGTATTAACGTGTTTTGGAAGCTTTCTAGTTGTGAAACCTAATCATTTTAAGGTCATACAAGGATTTCAAGTGAGTATGGGATTTTGAAATATCTGAATAATTTCTGTGATTGGAAGTTTCAGTCATCTTTACGTTTAATATCTCGACAATATGACTCATTATGTTGATGTAGACAAGCATGTGTTGGGACTGCGTAATCATAAGAAAACAAAAGGCGCGTACTGTTGAAAGCACGCCAAATTCGTAACAAAAAAGAAGCAAAAGGCGTATTAATTGTAAAGAACTAGCAAACGTTGAATTTGAATATTTTTTCTCGCGCAAAAATAAAAAAAGAATTTATTTAATTTTAGTTAATTTGAATTACACTTTACGAAAATACACATATTGCGTGATATTACAACCAAGATTTTTGGAAGTATGTCCTACACAATTCTATATATATGTGTAGGAATACATTAAAGATGAAAGATATTCTCTTTTTTCACTTATAAAATTACATTTTGTCTATAAGATCATATAATCTGTACTCCAAGATATACAATTACATAAATATTTTTAAATTGTATTAACCATAAAATAAGATAATGATATCAATACAAGAGAATACAAGAGAATATCCTACTCAAATAAATGCTGTCTTAGAAAATGGAGTTGCAAAATTACATAGCAAATCTATGTTTGTTCTCAACTTAACATATGCAAATAATTATTTTTTACTTTTTCCTTATATATTGGAATTTGCTGAATAAATTTTTTGAATTTTGATTATAATTTGAATAAAATCAACTATTGACAAATTGCAATTTGATGATATTACAAATAATTTCTTCAAATTTATCTCGTATCTTATCTAGTTTATTTATTTCCAAATAGATTTTTCTAGTAAAATGTCATAAAATAAAAAGATAAAATATGATTTTATAAGAAAATATTTGAAAAATTATAATTCCATTTTTTTATATTTAATATCTTTTTATATGTAGTATTTAGGCATATTATTTAAAATTATTTTATGTAATTTAAAATGTTTAGAAAATTATCTATTTTTTTTTAAATAGAAATTCTGATGCATTTTAGAGATATTTTTAAATGTATCCATTTCGTTTAAATCATAATTAAAATAAAATATAAAATTAAACGAATTAAAATTAGACGAATTATTTCAGAAATATTTTATATATAATTTTGTTTTTATCAAAATTATTAAATTTTTAGATATGTCTCGTCAAGGAGATAGAGGTTTTGACCCCTCTGAGCCATCAACTAGTGGACGTAAGAAACCTTACTCTAGACCTTCAGAATCAGTAAGTTAAAAGTAATATAAGACATCATATTAAATAATTACATGTTTTTCCAAGTGTTATTTGAAAAACATTATATATTGCAATATAATTTACATTTCTTATACTTATTTAGTTTTTACAAATATCTAGTATTAAATATTGATTAGTTATTATATTAATATTAAGTTATTATATTTATATTAATTTTTTAAAGTATTGTTATTGAAAATAATAATATATTTCATTCATATTTCATCGATATTTTATTTTAGTTTCAATTTTTAGAAATAATTATCTTTTTTTATGATAGTTTTATATATTTATTAGAAATAATCAAAAAGAAATCTGGCATAAAATTTATTATTTATTAATGAGAGAGAAAGAAAAAAAGAACATTTGGATTATATATATATATAAAATTGTATCCCTTAATTATACTTTTTAATTGAATATGTATTTTTTGTTACAGGAATATTCTGTAAAAGGAATAGTAAAGGTTAGTATGTAATTAATAATATGACAATAATTTAGCTTTGTTTTATGCTAGATATTATATACACTTAGATTAAAAATAATTATTTTAATATTGATATGATAATGCATGAAGAGGGAATATTTCAAAGGTTATTTTGAAAATGTTATATTCAATATTTATTTTTTTAATAAGAATTTTATAATTATTTATATACAATTTTTGCGTACACAAGTTTAAAAGATTTATGTGTGAATATAAAAGATGATATTATTATTATTATTATTACTGTTGTTATTGTTATTATTGTTGTTGTTATTGTTATTATTGTTGTTGTTATTGTTATTATTGTTGTTGTTATTGTTATTGTTGTTATTGTTATTACTAGGATATCCGCCATGAAGATGGTGCAAGTACATATTCATCACAATCCACTGTTCCTGTAAAAATTAAATCAGGTATTTTATTTTCTAATCTCTTTTTATTAGATTCTTTCATCTTAGTTTTTTTAATTATTAATTTTATGAATTTTTTAAATTCTTATTTTATAATTATTAATTTTGTGTGTGTGTATATATATACATATATATATATATATATATATATATATATATATTAAAGTTATATAATATATAAAATTTACATTTTTAAATAATATATAAATCAAAGAAATTTTTTGAAAATTTGATGTGAGAAAACATTATATCTTTGTACTTATAATTTTATAATTATAACTTATAATTAGTAAAAATCTTCATATATAATTTATAGAAAGTGGAGATGCTGCATCGACAAAAGAAACACGTGGTCGACGCAAGATGGAAATTATTTATGTCACTAAACCAGCAAATTTAGTAACTAAAAAAGGTTTGTATAGAAATTTTTAAAAATTGTGTGTTAACCTTTTATTAATTTATGATCTATATTAATTGTACATTGAAGAGCACATTTTTAATTTTTTTTTACAATAATATTATTATATATATAAACCAATTTATATTATATCTTTGTAATATTTAATTTTAATTTTTATTAATTTATAGGAACGTCTGGGAGACCTGTATCATTGCAAACAAATCATTTTAAAGTACCTACAGTACCTGATTGGTGTCTTTATAAATATCGTGTTGATTTTGAACCAGAAGAAACTCGTACATATATTAAAAAAGGTTTGCTTAGACTTCATAAAGAAAAAGTTGGTGCCTATATCTTCGATGGTACAATCTTGTATACAACCTGTCGTTTACCAGATGTAAGTATTATATATCAATATTTCATATTACTATTTGGATAAATAGAATATATAATTCAAACATTTTTATAAATAAATGCAAAAAATTTTTAGAAAGTGGAATTGGTGTCTACTAGACAATCTGATGATATGCCTATTAAAATAGTTATACGTTTAGTTGGAGACATGATGCGAGATGATCCACATTATATACAATTCTTTAATATAATAATGAGAAAATGCCTAGAACATTTAAAATTGCAACTGGTTGGCCGTGAATATTATGACGCTCGAAACAAGGTTAATAAAAATTTATATTGATATATTTACATTTTACTGAAAGTTTAATAATTTTTATATATGTTGTTATGTAATGATTTTGTATATATTATAGGTTAACATACATCAATTTAGATTAGAATTATGGCCTGGATATATTACATCTATCAGACAATATGAACATGATATACTAATGTGCGCTGAAGTAACGCATAAAGTAATGCGTCAAGAAACTTTATTAGATATATTAAGTGATTGCTATAGACGTGGTGCGGATTATAGAGTAAGTATTAAAATTTTTATTTGTATACTTTACATTTTCGTATTTCATTTTATACATATAGAAAATATTTGTATATAAATGTTTTACAAGATTTAATTTATGTGAGGCATATTTTTTCCTTTAAAGATAAATTCAACATTGTAAAGTGAATTAAAATCTATCTAAATATATGCTTTCTCACTTATTTCTCACTTTATGAGTAATTTAAGTTATATATACACATATATATGTTTAAGTCATTATATATACACATAAATATGTATATTTTATATAATGTTTTTATCATTGTTAGAATATATAAATATATAAAATAATTTCTAATAACTATCATTCTTTTGGCAAATATAAGATTTTAATTTGAGACTAACGTTTTCTAAATAGATTAAATGTACATAAAAAAGAATTTTGATATTTCTTTTCTTTGATATATTATTTCTCTTTGAAAAGAAATAAAAAAAATGATAGTTATTAGAAATTATTTTTCATATTTATATATACTGACAATAATAAATTATATAAAATTATATATATATATATACATATATATATATATATATATATGTATATATATATATGTATGTATATGTATGTATGTATATAAATTGTATATAAATTTCCAGAAAGAGTTTTGCAACAGTGTGATTGGAATTATTGTACTTACGGATTATAATAATAATACATATCGTATCGAAGATGTCGATTTTGATACAAGTCCTTCTTCAACATTTTCTATGAAATCTGGAGAAAGTATATCTTATCAAAATTATTATAAAAAAAGATACAATATCACAATAACAAATGGCACACAACCAATGTTAGTGACAAAAACAAAATCAAAGACAAGGAATGCTGGTCAAGGAGAATTTGTTTATCTAGTTCCTGAATTGTGCCGTGCCACAGGTTGTGTGCGAATATTTTGCGATACTTTCTTTTGTTAATACATAAATTCTTTTCACTTGGCAGATAAATATTATGTAACATTTTTTGTTTTGTATAAATTGTGCACTAATTCAATTATTTATATTATAGGTTTAACTGATAGTATGAGAGAAAATTTCCATCTTATGAGAGCACTAGCTACACATACTCGTGTCTCACCCGACTCTCGAATTGAAAAACTGATGAGATTTAATATTAGACTTCGTAAAGAGACAAAAGTTATAGATGAACTTAAAGACTGGAATATGGAATTAGAAAAAAATTTACTTGAAGTTCCTGCTCGTGTACTAGCTCCTGAAAGACTTGTATTTGCTAGGAATAATAAGATTAACTGTGTAGAAGGAGATTGGACGAGACAAATGCAAAGAGCACATTTATTCAATACTGTTCATTTGAAACAGTGGATAGTAATTGCAAACCAACGAGATGATCAGAGTGTAAAGGTGAATAATTTATAATTAATCAAAACAAATATAAAGGATAACGTATATTTAAGTTTTATATATATATAATAATATATACAGGGTGTTTCTAAAACGATGTCGGAGATTTTAAGGGCGTATTCTAGGGGTTAAAATAAGAAAAAGTTCATATAAACATGGGTCCAAAAATGCTTTTCCTCCTAGTTATAGCCCTCTAAAGTTGAGGGAAAAAATTGTCAAAATCACATAAAAATGAAGCTCATTATTAATTAGCTCATTATTATGCTGTGCAAAACTTTAACGTTCTATGAAAAAGTTTCCGAGAGTTACGATACATTTTTCGATTTTTTCCCTAAACTTTAGGAGGTTACAACTCGGAGGAAAAGCATTTTTGGACTCATGTTTATATGAGTTTTTTTTCTTATTTTAATCTTTAGAATACGCCCTTAAAATCTCCAACTATCTCCGATAGTTTTAGAAACATCCTATATATATATATATATATATATATATATATATATATATATATATATACAGGGTGTCCCTAAATTCGCGCCCACGGAGTACAAGGCGTGATACTTTAGGCTAAAAGAAATAACTTTTTCCTTTAGCAAAATTGCGTGCGATAAGTAGTTTTTGAAAGAGAGCAGGTTGAAGTAAACCAATAGGCGTTCTGGTGTAAGTGGCGCTCAGGCGCATCAAATTCTTGACTAGTATTTACAAGTAATGTTAAAACATTAATGCTTTGTTATAATTAGTTTACTATGAATTTATTTTTATCTTAGTTATGATTTTATTTTAATTATAGTATTATATAATTAGTTAGATTATACTTAAGACTCAAATAATAAGAATCAACTTGAATACTGAACCGTGATCTTTTTCCATATTGTATTCTTTTATTCACGGTTCAGTATTCAAGTTGATTCTTATTATTTGAGTCTTAAGTATAATCTAACTAATTATATGTATAATTAAAACAAAATCATAACTAACATAAAAATAAATTCATAGTAAACTAATTATAACAAAGCATTAATGTTTTAACATTATTTATAAATACTAGTCAAGAATTTGATACAAGTGAGCGAAGCGCGCGCGCCGGCCCTGAGAGTCACTTACACCAGAACGCCTATTGGTTTACTTCAACCTGCTCTCCTTCAAAAACTACTTATCGCACGTAATTTTGCTAAAGGAAAAAGTTATTTCTTTTAGCCTAAAGTATCACGCCTTGTACTCCGTGGGCGCGAATTTAGGGACACCCTGTATATATTTATTTATTTAATTATTTATTTAATTATTTTTTAATACAAATTATCTTTATCTTGCTAATCTAATTTTACAGAAGTTTTTGGCTAACCTAAGCACAGTATCAAATGGAATATCATTTCGATTTGAGTATCCGCAAATACATTATTTGCGCGATGATAAATCGAGCGTATATGCCGAGATTCTCGAACACATTCTTAGCAGGAGTACGCCTGACTTAGTATTCTGCGTAGTGAGCAATAATCGCGTTGACCGTTATGCAGCAATTAAAAAGAAATGTTGTGTAGATAGACCCGTCCCATCACAAGTTATGTTACAAAAAAATTTGGACGGAAGAAATGCCATGACTATTGCTACGAAAGTAGCGATACAGATGAACTGTAAATTGGGCGGTGCACCTTGGTATATTGAATGGCCCTTAAGAGGATTAATGACTATTGGTTTTGATATATGTCACGATTCGAACACGAAGGGCAGAGATTTTCGTAAGTATCATTTAAATATCGTTTTGAGAGATGTATTATTTTAATGTCCTGAAAACTCTGTATTTATATTGTATTCTTTTACTGTCTAAATTTCGTATATTTTTTCTGCATAACGTTTCATATAATCGTAAATTGAATATAAATGAAATTTTTTACATTACAGTGGCAATGGTGGCAACTATCGATCAAACACTGACGCGATACTATAGCTCTATTACTTTATATCATAATAGCGAGGAGCTCGTAGAGCAACTTTGTACAAATGTATGCAAGGCTGTGCAAGCCTATCGTTCTCTAAATAGGGCTTTACCTATGTACCTTGTAATTTATCGTGATGGTGTCAGTGAAGGTCAAATACCGCAGGTTTGCGAAAATGAAGTAGAAGGTTTAAAAAAGAAGCTTGAAGAAATATATTATGGTCCAAATTTCAAGATGATATTTATAATTGTGTCTAAACGAGTAAACGTTCGACTTTTCGAGAAGAGAAACAATCCTAAGATTGGTACTGTCGTTGATGATGTTATAACCAGCCCGTTTAAATACGATTTCTTTCTTGTATCGCAAAATGTCAGACAAGGCACTGTTTCACCAACTTCGTACAATATTATTTCGGATAATACAAGCTTAAACGTAGATGTGATACAAAACTTAACTTACAAATTAACACACATGTATTATAATTGCTCAAGTACCGTTCGAGTACCGGCGCCTTGTCATTATGCACAAAAGCTATCGTTCTTAGTGGGACGAATTCTTCATCGACCTCCAAGTACGCAGCTGGAAAATAAGCTGTATTTCTTGTGATATAACATAAATATGTCTTTTCATTATGGATTTACTTGGTATATTATGCTTAGTGTATTATACTTAGTATATTTTTATAACTTTTAGATGATTAAGAAGACAGTGGTTAAATGTGTTCATGATTTTATTTTTATATATCCTGGAGCTTGATGTATGCAATACTATTAGATTATAAGATTTCCTATATAACAGTACCAAATATTGTTCCAAAAAGTCTATTCTATTTGATTTATTATAAATAGATACACGATATTAACACATTGTATAAGATGCTATAGTTTTTTTTTCTTTTTTTTTTCCTTTTCTTTTTAACATCTTTAATATATGAACATTAAAATAATTACTATTAGTTTAAATTTTTAATACAGATATTAAATATAGCTTAGTAACTTTTTTTTTAATAGTACATATAGTATAATAATATTATATTAGATACATGGAATTTTGATGACTGATAAATATATGAACAATTTTAAATAGACTTTTAATTTTATTTTCGAATTATAAAAGTTTTTATTAGCCATATATTTTTAAAATACACAGTTATGTATAAGAATATAAATGCATTTATACATAATATATAGTTATAACAAAGAAGTCGGACAATCAACATTATTTCATATATATAGTTTAGAGAAACAAAGAACAAATATAAATCAAATTATTTGTAGCGAATTCGATTGGATACACTGGTACACATTAAAGACATAAATTTACAATAATGTAATTAAAATAAAGGTAATTAGTATTGCAAGTTATTATTATATACTTACATAGTCAATATTGTTATTCAATACTAATGATTCGTAGAATTAATTATTTTATTTTTAGTCATTTATGCTGTTGAAACAATCTTTAAATACACCAGTGCACTCAACTGAATTCGTTATTAATATAAAAATATGATACTTATTTTAATTTCATGCAGTCAAATGATAGGTCTGGATTTAAAGTAAAAGATTGTTAAGATTTATATGATTACTATATCTATACTATATAGTTACAATAGTATATTTTCCTCATGATTAATTCATTTATTTTATGTTGATACATGTATAATGAGCTGAATAGATACTTATTATTTCAATACATAAAATGCATTTTACTTATGTCTTATACAGCATATACATATTTATGTCATCAACACAATTATAGCAGTATATGAGTTTGAAGGAAGCAAAACGTTCGAAATAATACAAGCTATAAATGTTCTGAATAAGAAACCGTAATAAATTTTATGATTATGAATATATTTTTGTTTTAAACTTAATAAAAATATATTTTCAATATAATAATTAATTGCATATCAACTTAGATATATTAAAAAATTAAATTAAATTAAAAATTAAGTTAATTTTTATTTCTTACAGAGTAGGATCATTTGTATCATCGTAGTATGACGATATTAAATATGCCTTAATTTCTAATATTCTTTTTTGACTTGGATAAGTCGGAATTTAAAAATTTAATACATATAGTGTTCTATAAAAATATATTTATACTTTAAATATATAAGTATGCTTTATATATTAATATATTATTTAATATATTAATATGCTTTATATGTTATATATTTAATTTACATATATATTATTCAGTTTGTAATTTTCTATAATTCTGCTTATATTCAATTTGCTATATATATATATATGTGTGTGTGTGTGTGTGTGTGTGTGTCTGCTGCTGTGCGTGCGTGCATGCGTGTGTGTGACATAATGACAGATATCCTATCCTATTATAATTATACGCGTTGTCGTTTCGATTATGTTTAACATGAACATATCTTTTGTTCTCAATAAAGATGAAATATTAATAAGGTTATATAAAATTACAACACAAAGATAAAAGCAAAATCATATGGACATAAACAATCATGGAACTTGAAGAGTTTGCGAGTCTTCAGTTAGATAAACCGTTACCCGACGTGAGAGTATGTAATATATATCAATAAGATTTTAACAATTTCACATCTTTATTGATATACGTACGAATTTTGTTAAAAAATTTTTCACTACTAACTAGAACATTTGAAAACTTTTCTCAGATATTAATGTTAATGAACGTCCAGCGATTCAATATTTCATACTACAATTTTATTCAAATGTCCTTATATAGAATGAAGAACAATTGCGAAAGCACTCCTTGGATGCTAACTTGGAAAGGAGACCTATAGATAGAGCAATTCATATTCTTTTGTAAGTAGATTACACGTCTTAAATCTTAATCTAATTAAAAATATATATTTAAAATAATTTTTTGTCAATTTTTGTAAAGATAAATTTTTGATTTATACGATATTAATATTTCACTTCATATATATTATCAATATTTTTTTTATTACAAATGTTATTTTTATTATTTGTTAAAAGTCTTACATGTCCTACCCCAGGCAGCAAGGTCTTAAAGACGTCTTTAGACGTCATCTTGCTACCTGGGACATAACTCTTTTGTGTACGTGTGTAATGATTTTCATATTTTTTAGAAGTTAAAAGATTTTATAATTTTTTTGGGGCGATATACAAAAATCTAAAAATAAAAATCTAAAAATCTAAAATCCTAAGTTTATCATAAAATTTTATTCTGAAGTGCGCGAGAGTAGTTTCGCATATGTCAACTTGTTAAACCTTGATCGGAAATACGTAATCCGCTTCCGATTACCGAATCAAGGTCAACAACGCATTAATTAAGTCTCGCGAAGCTGAGAATGATTTCAGAATAAAAAATATTTCTTCAATGATGCGGTAATTTCTGACGTAATTATCTTTAAAAATCATATCCATTAATAATCATATCCGCATCAAAAGTCATCGAAATCTTCAGTTTAAATCTTTATAGATATTTAATTTTATGTGTATCGAACAATTTTTAACATTTCATTACAGGTACACACGCTTGTAAATAAGCTTTCTTAAAGATATATATTATTAATAAAAGATTCCTAAAATAAAATAAGATCATATCACATGAGTTTTTATTTAAAAAAGTTTTCATATTTTTGATATCTAGCAAGATAATTCAAATCGGAATTTTTGAAATTAAACTTTTAGAGAATTTTAATTAATGTTACTCTCTAGAAATACATAATAAATCGAATATTTTTCCTATGTTAAATCAATCCAAGATCGCGTTCAATTAAAATCGGAGCGTTTTCAGAACAGATTTTCGGAGAGAAGCGCGATTGAAAGATCCGCTCGTGAATCTTTTTTCCTGTGATACATCGTACCAGCGCATCGGATTGCAGGATGACGCGATCGTTAAATCATCTTTTGTGTCGCACACATCGGGAATTACGCAACGACGACGCCCTCGGCGCATAATGCATACATAGAACATACATACATACGTCGCGCGATGCATCACGACGTATCTTTTTACCACCCAGTACGTGGGTCGCGTTCGTGTCGGCTCGACGTGACTCGGGCGCGTTCGTGCAACATCGACGGCAAATCAGATACAATCGATAGCGTGGAAATCGCGGACGAAGAGAGGCTGCCTCCGCTGCCTCACTTCACTCGCGTCCAGCTGTCATTCGTGTCCTCTGTACGTCGTGTCACGTTCCTCGCGTGCCGTGTCCGCGTAAAGGAAGCCCACGACGATTGATCGATTCCCTCCGCGCGTACGCTGGCTGCGACATCGATGAATAAGATGCGCCTCGAAAATGTTGCAAGAGGGAGATGAAGCCCTGTACGAGATCGCGTCCGATCCGTAAGTAGTTAATTGACGACGAGTGATATACGGTGCGGTGTTTCTCCGTCGTAACGAGAGCCTTGGACGCGTGATCAATCGTAGGTTCATCCTTACAATTAATCAGAGTTGTTACCCTTCTTATCTCACGTTCCACGCGCGCGCGCACTCGTGCTCTCCTAAAAATAACGCGCGTTCGTTCAAGGAGCGTGCTGTCCTGTCGTAAACCGTGCTAATTATAGTCCTTTAAAGAGATAGCCAAGAGATGAGAGGCATTCCCCCGAGTATCGTAATATCAGTGATATACCAGGATTGTGAGAAGTTTACAGACGTCGAGATTTTTAGGTTAACTGATCTATAGATACGCATTTAAATTTCATCTCCGCGAAGTTGTCTCGTTTTTTAAATATATTTATAGTGTGCAGTAGTAAATATAATAGATATTTTGCAAAATTTACCTATTATTTGCTATTATAAAAATATAACAACAGATACTCAATGAAAATATGTAAAATATATAATAATAAATACTTAAGAAATAAAATAATAAATATTTAATAATAAATACTTAGGAATAATGTATAATAGATACATTTAATATCTGTTATATTGATTTCTTTGCTATCAATTGTGGAAATTTGCAAAGAATTTTCACAAGCATTTTGATCGATATAATTGACAAAATAACTTAATCGATAACTTATGTTAATTGCCACAAGAAAGCAAAATTGTATTCATGTTGAATCACATTTCTTAAAATATTCTTTAAAATTCTCTTTCCACATCTCTTATAAATATTTGTTTTATGAGCTCATATGTAGTTTGAATTATATCTCAGAATGTTATTAGAGTAACTTTTTCTACTTCTTACTTATCTTATTTAAGTTGAATGAATATTAGAAAATATAAATTTGTCTGTTATAAAGTATAAAAAAAAATTCTTCTTTTTTTATTATAAATAAAAAGTACAATTTGCTAAACTCTATTGCTTTCATCTCTCTTTCTTTCCATAAAATCAAAATATATATCCTTTTAAATGCGAGAAAATCCAGGACTGAGAATAATATGTCTACAATTATTATATTAATACTATTACTATATAATATACAAATGAATGAAATATTGCAGAACCTATCATTTATGTTTTTTGAAAAAATCTTGAAATTTTTTCAGGAAAGGAGAAGAGATCCAAAAACTTAGTGTTATACAAAATCTACCAAGTCTTTTAGCTACCGACATACAATCATGTATGTCTCGAGTGGTACCTAAGATGCAGCAGTCTCTGGCTACTGCATCAACCGAGTTTCACATAGCAGCATCATCTACATTTAAAACAATTTTAGAGCAAAAGCTTGTCAGCCATAATGTTTTCAGTCAGACATTCCTTCAAAGTATATTAAATTCTCTGGAGAGTCGTGATCCAGGTAAACACATCTAATTGTTAATTAATTAAAATAACAATAATTATTTTGTAGAATGTAAAATTTTACAATTAAGAATATTAAATATTATATTTTTATTTCTATTTCCCTTTAATTCACTTTGATTATATGTGTCAATGTTAAAGTTATCTGTCACGCATGGTTGGAGACCTTACTGGATGTGATAGAGTTACTGCCGGTAGAAGTTGTAAGAGCACAGGTTTGTAAAGGCAATTTTTAGAAATTTATATTTTTATTTATATCAATATTCAATTATTCAATATTTTATTACATTTGGAGGGAAAATGTTATGTTTCCACATGCATATGTTTCCACAATGTATTTAATATATAAAATATATTTATGTCAATAAACAATTTTTTAAAAAACGTAATGCATAAGAAAGTAAAGTAAAATACAATTATACATATAGTTTGCAAATGGAAAATTAAGAAAGGAGCATTATACTAGCACTATAATTTAATTATTGAAATATTATCTAAATGTAATAAAATAACTCTTTTTTTTGAATGGATAATAACAAAAATACTTTTACAGATTCTTCCATTGACTATAAGTAAAGGACAATTGTCACAACCTATCTATTCCAGGATAACATGTAGCAGATTATTAGGAAAGATTTGTACACGATTTGATTCTGCTATGTGAGTATATACATTTATTTATATATTTGAATATATCTAACTTTCATGATTGTAACATATATAATAAAATGTACAAAATTTTTAAATAAAATAATATGTTTTGAAGACTATTTCAGTAATCAAATTTTTATATATCAGTTATTCATGTATTGTTAGTGGAAGCAACTTAAATCATGTTCATTAAGCTATTACCTATTATTATATTCTTGTATATTATAAAGTGTTATCTAGAGATTTATATTTTATATTATTTATATTTAAATAATCCATAATTTGTTACTTATTGCTTGATGTTTTATTTGATAAATAAGCATTCCATTATTTAATCATTAACATTGTTAGGATACAAAAGGAAGTTCTACCAACGGTACACTCTCTCTGTCAGGATGTAAATAGTGATGTGCGTGCTAATATTTGTTTGCAATTACGTTTTGTTGCGGAGGGTCTTGGTGCTGAGTCTGTGAAACCTGCTTTACTACCATCTCTAGTAGAATTAGCAAGTGATGAAGAAAGCAATGTAAGATATGCCTCTGTACAGACAATAGTGTATTTACTACCTCATCTTCAGGAAGGTGAGTTTTAATCAATGTTTTAAAGAGCTATTTTAGCTTTTAATGAGTAAATTATATGCAATGAAAAAATATTTCTTGTAATAAATAGCAGGAATTAATTCAAACAAATTATTTATAGATACAATAAAAAATATAATAGCACCGCTTGTTAAAAAACTATGTGAAAATGCAGCTAAATCAGAAGACAATGTGATATGTATAATAGCTCAAGAATTGGGAAAACTTGTACTTGGCCTAGAAAGTAAGAGAAATCATTTTTTGCATTTATGTAGGCAGCGTGCAGTGCATGTTTAAATAATAATATTCAAACAGAACGATAATGATAATTTAATGAGCATAACATACTTAATCTTACTTTGTGAATTCAACACGCAATAATTCTCCGGATAATAATGATCTTTCATATCATAATGATCACTTGTCAGTGCATCAAATGTTGTAAGTAATGCATTTACATCATCTGGATAACTTGATAAAATAAATATTGTGGAATTTATGAAGATTAAGTATGTAATACTCATCATAATAATTGAATATACTTAAATATATACTTAAAGATATATTTAAATATAATATAAATATGTGTATAATATAAACACATATGTATATAATTTTAGAATGCTTATCAACATCAGAAAAAACATGGTTCTTGAAATATTTTCAACAACTTGCACAGATGGGAATACCATCATTGAAAAAAGAAAAGCCGCAGTTTACATTTGTGAGTATCTATATTTTATATAATTTTATTAAATTTTAAATATATTTTCTATATATAAAATATAATTATATATATATATATATATATATATATATATATATATATCACAATACAATATAGTACAATAGATTAAAGTGTAGTGTAGTAATTAATATAGACATATATTGCAAATATATGAATTATAAATAACGTATTTTTATAAATTATTTTGTCTTATGTAAATTGATTCCAAAGATAACGACATGTTATTCTTTAATTGTAACATATTCATATTTCATTTCAAATTTTTAGATTAGCAGCAATCCTACACAAGATGAAAGATATGTTGAATGCAGAAGACATTGTGCATTTAATTTGCCTGCAATGTTTATTTTTGTATCAAGCTCTCCAGATGATGTAAATGCATTACTTACGACATTTGATGCACTGGCAAGTGATCATTATTATATGGTCCGGAGAACTGTTGCGTGCGGAATTCACGAAGTAAGATTAAGTATGTTATGCTCATTAAATTATCATAGCAATATTGTATATATATAGTAAAGTAATAATTTGTAGGTGACGAAGGTTTTAGGATCAAAAAGTGCACGGATCAGAGGAAATTTAATAAAATTACTGAAAGATGACTCAGAGGAAGTACTTCAAGGTTTAATTCCTCATATAGGAATAACATTGGAATGTTTAGCTGAAAATCAAACTATTGGAACAGATAGAGTGGTAAGTTAAATTTTATAACAGTAATTCAAGGTAATTTGCTTATTATATTAATTTATTATTTATTAATTTATTTATTATAGGATTCTACTCTGATGGAAATAGGTAAAGCCTTGTTAAAGTGTGAGGCCAAAGTTGCGGGTACATATAATTGGAGAATGGCGTCATTGATGCATGCGCAGCTAGAGATTTTACCTAAATGTTTTCCGAGTGATTTTATATACTCATATTTTGTGCCAATGGCTTTCTCCAGAATTTTGCATGCAGTGAGTTCACAACATTTTATTTTACTGAAAATATTGGAGATTTAATAAACAGTTTAAATTTAAAAATTTTAGCGACCGATACCGGTACGTCTTGCTGCAGGAATACTTTTTCTTGTTCTTTTACGATATAACATGAAACCTATACAAAAAGCGGAACTACGTAATAGAATCTTTACGGATTTAGCTAACAATCCTGATTGTTATGTCAGAATGATGTTTGTCCGTATGATGATCGAGGCGCTGGAAATCTTTTCTTCCGTTTATTTTAAAGAACATTTTTTCAATGTATTATTGAATCTGGCCGAAGATCCAGTAGCTAATATAAGAATGAAAGTAGTATCATTACTACCCCAACTAAAGAGTCAACTGTGGATACCAACTGATAAGAAATTACTGACATCATTAGAATCGGTTGTGAGGCACTTGGTTAATAATGAAAAGGATAAAGATGTATTATTTATCTTAAAAAATATTACACAGAAATTAGATGAAATGGATGTCAAATATGAAGGCCAGAGTGTAAGTATAATTTTTAACAAATTAATGTGCAGATTATATGATATATATATATTTTTTTTTTATTTTTTGCTCAGTTAACAACAAAGCTTACCAAACAAGACATAGAAGATGCCAAAAAGTTGGAAGAAGAAAAAAAGTTATCCGGTATAGGTGTAGGAAAGTCAGCGACTGGAACTATAGTAAAAAAAGGTATAAACATTCAGTAATGTATTGTCTTTATTGATTAAATGTTATTATCAAAAATTTAGATATTTATTTATGTATATTGTATTTATTATATCTGCAATTAAAAAATTATGTTTATATAAAATATTTGTATAAACAGATCATTAATCTTTTTTTAACTTTAATAACATACTTTCTTCTATTCCATATATATAAAGATTATATTTGAAGACAATTTTTATAATTTTTAAAGATGATTAAAAGCTTATAAAGTTATAAAAATATTATTATTAATTTATCACGTTAATGAGAAATAAATATGTCAAAGGTTTATATATTTATAAAATATTTATTCTTTTCAGGTTGGACAAGAACAGGAAGTGATAGTTCTACAAGAGGATTGTAAGTTTGAGATTAAATATATTAATTTGTTAAATAAGATAAATATATAGAATATGTTTGTCAGAAATTATATTATTAATTATATTATTATTCGTTATTAAGTCAATGTATGTGCAATTTATGTTTCAGGCAATCAAAAGGTGAGCGTCCAGTGATGAATAATGAAGCATCATACGAAACAAAGTTGTTATTAATGAAATGTAAGCAACTTATATTATTTAATGATAACAGAAATTGAGAAGCGGAAAACCGTGTCCAAGTAATCCTGTCATCTGTGTTACAAGCCCAAGCCATTTTTTAAAGTACTAATCTTTGTTTTGTGTTAACTATTAAAGGGAGCAATTGAGTTAAATAAATTTTAGCTGAAATATTATTTTTTTAAATTTAATCGAATAAAAAAGGAGATTTGTTAACAAAACTAATAATAACTTTGATTTTAACTTGTTTCAACTAAAATTTAATATCTTGCAGATGGAGCTGCACCATCGCGTCAAACTGTCGAAAACTTAAAAACAAGGTAAGCAAAATTTAGCAAAACAAAGGATACTAATACATGTTTAAAAAAAAATAACAATTATTTATATGTATATTCAAATTGAAAAAATTTACAATTAGATATAACAAATTTTATAAAAGGCCAAAAATTTATCTAGTTTTGTACTTTATTATATAAATAATTTTTCAATAGTATGTATGTTATAATAAAAATTAACATTCTATTAATGTTAATCTTATAAAGAAAGTTTAATTGTAAGTTATGCCCGCTTTATATTTCTAACAGAATTCTACTAACACATCCTTGGGAAAGAGTAGGATATTTCAATTCGCATACTAACACGTCACATCTTAATTTTGAGAACGGATCGTCTAATGATTATATCACGCAAAAGCTACAATGTAACTGCTCCAAGTTGGCTGTATTCCAGGCTCTCTTGCAATTGCCGGATACGTGTGAGCAAGAATATAAGAGTAGCGATACTTTTCAATGCGGTTCGTATTATGATACTGACAACGATCGCGCAAAATTTCGAAAACAATCGATCCAAGCGAGCGAATATAACAACTCTTCCGCCCTTGCTTCGTCAAAGCCTTTTTTTTTATCACTTGTAAGAGAAGATAATAAGCAAGAATCGCAACAGCATTCCTTACTAACAGGACGGGATTACTCGCATGAATTTCCTACTAACATCGGTGACAAGGATAGAGCGCCGAACTTTGCCGGTCTGCGAGCACTGACGGACGCAGCTCACTATAATTCCTGTTGGGCTTTTAGCTCCATGCCGGAAATACCCGTGATGCAGTCCGACGATGAATTCTTAGTGGATGCGGGAATCAGGATACCCGCGCAATTCTCCGCTTCGCCGAGCGCATCTAAAATTCCGCATTTGCAAGATTTTATCGCCACGAGGAGACGACCAAATAACAGCACGATTCGATCTAGACGAAACAGCGTAAATTTCGATAAGCCCAAGTTCAAGAGACATTCCTCTGTTGAATACGAAGATTGCATGAAACGTAGGACGAGTGAGAATGATGACCCGTCAATGAGAAGCACACCAACTTCGATAGATTACGAAGAAGGTTTGCGGCAGCGTAATATGTTGAAGGAAAATCTGAGCGACCAGCAGTCATCTAAGACTAAAAGATATTCCGCGCCGTACGGAAGAACTAGGTTTGGATGGGATGCTAGCCAAGAGAGATCTCTGGACGAAAAATTTAAGAGAAATTCTTTGATACTCGATAAGGAAAAATTGAAATTTGCTAGCTCCAAGTGCGTGCTAGATCGCACGAAACGTCATTCTACAAATTTTAGCTTGAAGCTACCCGACTCTAAAGAAACGAAGCAAAACGTAAAACGTCACAGTCTAGAGGATCACACAACGGTACGTCGAACTATAAAAGGATACTTTTCGACATTGGATGTGAACCATAATCAAGGTCTTAGCAAAATCCCTTTGAGAAACATCGAGTCTCGTAGCAGAACTGCGCCCGCTACCAGAGCGTCCAGCCCCGTACACATGGAGTCGCGATTGAGATTCGATGTCGAGAACTGTGATGACATTCGAAGTTCTAGCGACAGACATTTAAATAGATTTAGCTCGAGTGATGAGGAAGTCGACAAATTATGTAGGATGCTACTACATTCTCAAACAAAAAATGTAATAGCACAGAGTAGCGCAAGCGGAACACCAAGAGGAAGGTACCCTATTCATTTGTTAATGAAGAAACTATAAAATGGTATTATTCTTTCTGTTATGTATCTCTTGCATAATTTCTATAACTCTTCCATGACTGCATTTAGCAACCATATGTTGATTTTCATATTCAGATTTTCAAATTCATTTACAACGGGACTAAATATTGATTGATAATACATAACTACTTTGAAATTTTTTTGCAAAATTTGTAATTGAATATAAATTTTATTTTGTGTGATTAATTTTTTAGCATCACAAACATAACGTTGTCGCAAATAAACAGATAATTTCGTAATATTCAATATCATATTTTAAACTATGATATTATTTACGATATTAATATTTTTATTTATTTTTGAAATTGTAAAGTACCGTTGTACACTCACTTTACCATTTTCTCAAATCTAAAATCACATATCTTAATGTAGAATATCATCAATATAATTCTGATTCTGAAATAAGAGATTCTAAGAGAAATCGCAAATTTTACAAATAATAAAATTATCTAGGAAGTTATGGCCATATAAAAATTATTTTGAGAATATATACAAACTTTAATTGCATATTGACATTAATAAAATTAAATTTGCAATGTATAATAACTTTATGTTAATTATATTAGCATATCAGTTATTGCCATTGTTTCTAATTCACGCTCTAAAACAGGGTATATTTTTATAATTCGTTTGTAAAAGTTTGTGTACAGTAGAGTTTGCATTATTTACTTAATATAATGCAGATATCTGTAACTTATCGTTTTATTTTCTATTTATGTAACAGAATATTTTCTACTCGATTAATAATATTTAAAATTATAGTAAGATAATTTTTTTAAAAGTCTTGATATTTTATCTAATTTTTTTTACTTATAGCTTGAAATTTAATTACATAATTAATTATATAATAACTTTGGGAAATGTTGATTGGCGATAAAAGATGAGTTTTATTAAGAATGTTTAGGCTTATACAAAATTAATTGTCCATGAAATGGCCCTATGTACTTATATAAGATAATATTATAATATTGAGTTTTTTAGTATTTTTTATTATTTGCTGAATCAAATTATGAAGAGAAAAACATGCACGCTTATTTCGAGAAAGACTGTTTTTTAGATTTTGCGATTTAAAATTATAGAATAAAAAAAGTGAGAGGGAGATATTTCGTTTATATTTTACTTCAGAGATACATATTTAATAATATCGGTCTCTAACACACAGTAAGGCTATAATTTCTAATTGCTAATAGTATTAAAAATGGTTGTTATTAAGAAAATGAGTTAATTCTAGATCTTAGGATAAAACATTACTAAATGAAAATATTAGATTTATTCTAATAGCGAGCGCTAGAATCTAGTCTGCATAGATATAGTCTATGAGAGATCTGGAAAGTTATAGTCATGATTTGAGATTTGAGAAAAAAATCGTTATTTATTTTTAGTTCACACTTTTATGCTATTAGCTCATATATATAGAGTTGATAGCATAAAAATAAATTAACAAAAATAACTTTATTTTATACATATATATAATATAGTAGATTAGTAGATAAATATTTACACCCATACGTACATATAATCCTTATTGAGTTTAATCAAAATTGCATTTAAATCTCAATTAAACATCTGATATATATTATTATTTTCATGTTTCAGTATAGCTGCTGTTGTTAATAAATGATTTAAGCTAATTATTATTTATGTAAAAAATTAAGGAAAAGCTAAGTTGTATAATATAGTTAAAAGCTCATTTCTATACAAATCAATTATAATACTTTACAGAAAAAGAGTTATTATTTGACATTAAATTATCTTATTTATAATGAACTAATTATCTGAATATAAGTTTAGTTCAATTCATAAATCTCAAATTATGACTAATTTTTCCTCCAATATAATACATATACATTCAGAATGTCCCATTAATGATAAATATTTTTGGAACGATGCAAAGTATATCATTTTTCTGTTTTTCAAATATATGGTTTATTGGAATCCTTTTAAAAATCAAAACAAGATTTATATTAATATGTATTTTCGACTTGTCACATTAACATAATTTTTTTAAATTAGCATTTTTTTGCATAAGAACTTCTGTATACACAAATCACTAATTTTAACGAGGTTCTACATAAATAAAATTTATATTTTAATTTTAGTAATACATACTACATTTTTTCATCAAAAAAGCATCTTCTTACACAATAGAAAAGGTTCCATTAAGCCATAAGTTTAAAATAAAAGAAAATCTACTTTGCATTTTTATAAAAATGTAAACTTCTAATATTTTTATTGGAGCCTCTTATAATGAAGAAACATATATGCATCTAGAGCATTTAAATAATTGTTTTTAATTTTTTCGTTGCTTTGTCTGTTTTATTCATGTATATATAAGTTAAGAAATACACTGCAACCTTGAAAGAGTAGATCATACAGGGCTCTGATATACTCCAATGAGATTAATTACTCTTATTCTTGTTCTGATCAAGGTCATAAAAGATATCATTTCACATGATTACTCGCGAGATTTTGAACAAATTTTATCTGTCACCGTAAGAGAGTATCAAGCCTGCAGTTTTCTGCAATTGAAAGTGGCTTAGTACATAGAAAAAAAAGATATATTCTCACAATAATATATACTCGCAGTATATATTATTGTGAGGTTTTAGTGTAAATGCTGTCTCAATAAAAAAATAAATTACTTTTAAAGATAAGAAAAAAATAATAAAATTTATAAAAGATATAAAAAAGATAAAATTTTAAACTATATACTGAAATCTCTCAAAAGTATAATTCCTCTAAGAAGAATTCCTTTCACGGCTAAGACATTTCGGGAAAATATGAATAGTGGAAACGATCCAACCGCACAATAATGTTTTTTTGTAGCTCTGAATATAATGAATATATCAGAGCTTCGCACGATCTATTCTTGAGAACTTCTAGTGTATAAGATATTCATAAATTCGATATTTTAATAAGTCTTGAGTTTTTAAATATACTTGGTTGAAAAACATTTTTAAACCAAAGAGAGTTGTTAATGATATATAACGATGTACAAAGTTTTGAAGGCATTATATATACTAGTATATACAAAATATCTTAAAAAAGATATGCTATATTGTTTCTTCACATTAAAAATTAATAATTTAATGATTGAGATAATAATTTTTTTATTTAGTATTAATGGAATTATTATGTTTTATGTAATTTATTATTATATCCTGAATGTATAAATATATAATTATATATTTATACAATAAATAATTTTTTTATTTCTTTAAATTTTTAGTTTTTCCTTAGGTAAATTAAAAGTTAATTTAAATTAAAGATTCTCTAATTTATTACACTATTTGATTTAAGAGAACATTTCATATTTTACAGTTTAAATTCTGAAACAAACAAAAAAATTTGATTTTTTTTCTCTTTTTCTCTTTTTTTAAAGTATAATCTCTTTATATCTTTTTTAATATTTTGTGTATATTGTATATTTGAATGTATGCTGTCTGTGTGTCTATCTATACATACACACACACATACACATTATATTACTTTATTGAACTTTATAATGTACAAGTGCCATTTAAATTTATTAAAAAAATTTAGTATATAAAGCATTCTCTGAATATATATTGTCGACAAGTGGAAAACGGATTGAAAAGTTTCATTTATGTGCATATTTTATTATGTAATATATATATGCGCCATTATATAGTGTAGTGATTAAAATTTATAGTAATATTACGATAAGTTATAGTAATGTTACGACAGCGACGATTGTTCAATTATATGCGATTTATAATTTATATTATATATAAAATTATCTTATGATTATTTTTTCATTGTTCTTTTTATGTTCTCACAAATATCTAATGCAAAATTGTTAGTTACACGCAAACAAAAACCAAAACTTGCAGTATTTTGATTTTTAACATATAACACTTATGGGTATATTATATAATATATTATGAAATTCCGTAAAAATGAAAAGAATATGAAAAGAATACAATTTATTTTTTTCAAATAAATATTGATATATTAATTTGATATTATATATACACTATATGTTACGCTATAGACATAAATATTACAAATTATTTTGATACTATGACATTTTTTTGGCAAATTAAATGTAACTATGCGGCTTGTAGTTTGGTTAAGTTTATAAATAATAGAAGATAAACTGTAACGACGATTGCATAGAACACCAATATTATTAATGTGCGTATATTCTCACATGTTTAAGATATATAAATATTTTTCACAATCTAATTTTTGTGCTCCAAATTCTCATTATGATCTATTTTTATGCAAACGAAAATACATTCACTGTTTTAGAAAATTTTCATATATGAAAAACTTACAATTTAGGAAAATATTGTTACAAATTGTATATTTACATATACAATAAGGAGGGAGAAAGAGAAAAAGCAACGATATGGAGACTAGTATATATATATATATATATATATATATAAATATATATATATGGAGATAAGCAAGTTAGCTTGATCGAAGATTGTACTTGAATAGAAAAAGGATCAAAATGTGTGTAGAGGTAATGCGAATTTTGTGTTTAATCTGCTTAAAAATACTGCTATTTATTTTTATAAAGATATATGAAGTTATAAATTAACTTTTGTGCCAGAAGTAAATAGAGGTAATTATATATATGTATATGTATAGAGTAAAAGTTTATGCACTGTTATATTGTTTCTGTATATGGAGAAGAATGATATATTAAGAGAATGTAATACATGTTATCCGTTTTATATATATGTATATATATTTTTTATTTTACGTTTCTTTATTAATAAACTTATATTTTTTGCGAGATCGCGTGACTTTTCTTCTAATTAATCATGTAAATTGTTTTATTTCAAGCGTTAACTATTCTGCATTAGAAGAGAAGTAAACTGTGATGACAAAAAAAGCTTATTGAATAAAAAAAGAAAATATTTAAATTATATATTAACGAATATACATATGGAATCGAATATATTTGTGAAACAATATTTTTATTACTTATATTACTCCTATAAAAATAAGAAATATTCGAAATTGTATTTTTGTGAAGTATATCTGTAATAAAAATATAGTTAAATGCGAGAGAAATAAAGATCGGAGCTATGGATTATTAACAATTGTCAACAATATTGTGAACATGCTTTAATATATTACATGCTATATCATTAATAA